GAAATTTCAGAAAAGTCTTTATATATTGCCTTTAAGGGTAGCTGAATGATATATTCTAATCAAAATGATTGGAAAAAGTGCAAGCACTTTTTAATTAACATTTCTGACTTATCAGCATCTTTTTGTCTTGCAAATTCTTTTAAAAGATATAGAGAAGGCACAGATACAGCTGGAAACATTTTATCCATTGGCTCCAAAATCAATGATTTATGCATTTAATTTGGGCTACATAGCTTTCCACTCATTTAAACCTAATCAAATTTTGCAACATATCACTGTAATAGTTAGACTTTTATATGAAGCTGTACCAAAATAATTTAGGGAAAGCTAAGAATTCAGTACCACCAAACCAGTATTACAAAAAACTGTTAAAAGTTCTTCTTTGAGTAAAAGAAAAAGGAGGAGGAGGAGGAAAAGGAGAAGAAGAAGAAGAAGAAGAAGAAGAAGAAGAAGAAGAAGAAGAAGGAGAAGAAGGAGAAGAAGGAGAAGAAGGAGAAAAAGAAGGAAGAGGGGGAGGGGGAAGAGGAGGAGGAGAAGGAGGAGAAAAAGAGGAGACAGTTATTAAGAATAAAATGGCAGTAAACGTGTACCTATCAATAACCACTTTAAGTGTAAATTTTTTAAATGCTCCAATTGAAAAACATATCATAGCTGAGTGGGTAAGAAAACAAGACCCATATGTATGTTGTCTACTGGAGGCTCACCTCAGAAGAAAAAGATACACACAGATTATAAGTGAAGAATGGAAAAAGATATTCCATGCAAATGGAAAAACAAGAAAAAGCAAAGGTAGCAATACTTATATCAAACAAAATACGTAAACTCTAAAACAAAGGCTATTGTAAGAGATTAATAAGGACATTACATAATGATAAAAGGATCAATCCAGAAAAAAGGGTATAAACCTTGAAAACATTTATGTACTCAACACAGGAGTACTTAAAGATGTAAAACTAATCTTGATGAATGTAAAGGGAGAGACAAATGGTAATAGAGTCATAGTAGTTGATTTTAACATCCCATTGACATCAATACATAGACCCTCCAGACAGAACATAAGCAAATAAATGGCAGCCTCAAATAACACACTAGATCAAATAGATATAATTGATATCTTCATAGTATTGATCACAAAGCAACAGAATATGCATTTTTAAAAATTGTTTTCTATTTATTTATTTATTTATTTAACTTTTAAATCATATTTATTCTATTATAGTTGTCTCAATTTTCCCCTCCTTAGTCCCCTCCACCCATTCCACCCCCGACCCTGCTCCCACAGCCAATTCCAACTCCGTTGTCCATGTCCGTGGGTCATTCATACATGTTCTTCGTCTAGTCACTTTCCTTTCTTTCTACCATTGCCCTCTTTCCCCATCCCCTCTGGTCACTTTCAGTCTGCTCCATGTTTCCATGCCTGTGGTTTATTTTTTTCCTTAGTTTATTTTGTTGAACAGATTCCACTTATAGGTGAGATCATTAGATATTTGTCTTTCACTGACTGCCTTATTTCACTTAGCTTAATATTGTCCAGTTCCATCCATGTTGTCACAAAAGGTAGGAATTCAGTTATTCATTCTTTCTTTTTTATAAGGAAGATTTTATTTATTTATTTATTTATTTATTTATTTATTTATTATAAATTTAATTTTAATTTATTTTTTCAAATACATTTGTCTCTGTCTACCCCCCACCACTTTCCCTTGCCCCCTCCCTCCTTCCCTCCCTCAGCTCTTCCCCTTTGGTTTTGTCCATGAGTCCTTGCTATATGTTCCTTGACTTTCCCCTTCCCTTCCTTTTCCCCGCCGCCCTCCCTCCTTCCCTCTTATCTCTGTTTTATTTATTTTTTAAATGTCAAAATCCATTATAAAATATTGAAAATTTTAAATCCGTTATAAATTCTCAGTAATTAAAACAACATGACACCAGCACAGAAATTATCATGTAGATCAATGAAATATAATGAGCATTCTAGAGACAAATGTATATATCTGTCTAACAAGGTAATATATGATTAAATTGATATTTCAAGTCAATGGGGAAATTAAGGCTTATTCAACAAATAAGGTGCATGGACCACTATTACTTGAAATAAAACAAACATAGATCCCTATTTCACACTTATACAAGAAATATTCAGGTGAGTTAAAAATCAATATGTAAAATCTAAGGAGTTTTAGGAGAAAATACAAAATAATATTTTTCTTACCCTGAAGTAAATACTCCACCCCAGAGGCTATAAAGTAAAATATTGACAATATGACTGTATTAAACATTTAAGAATATATAGCAGTATACATATAAAAAAGTTAAAGGACAAAGAATAGAATAGGAAAGTATTTGCCACACAAGGGTTAATAGTTTTTTGTGTCTTTTTTAGAGAAAAAATTCTACAAACCTTTAATCAAAAAATGGATAAATAATATGAAAAAGTAATTTAAAGCTTTTTTAAAATAATAGAAATAGGCAAGAAATATACAAAAACAGGTTTAGTTTCAACAAATAATAGACTTCAGGATGGAGGAGGAGTGAGTGGAAATTGCATTGACATCTTCCCAGGAACAATCTAGAGTTACAACTAAATTGTGGAGAAAACACCTGGAAAACAACTGAATAATAGCAAGAGAGGAGCCTTAATACCTCAGACAGATAGAGGAACCAGCTTTGGTACAGCCTAACTGGTAGGGAATGCAGTAGAACCTCAAGAGGGTGGAATAGGCACCAAAGGGCGGCAATGCCAGAGGGATACTGAAATGACCAGTTGGATCCCCCTAAGGGGAGCAGGGTCTAGACCATAGGCGAGGATCTCCAGCCTACAGAAACAGAGCCCACAAAGCACACAGAGAGCATCAAACACTGAAACACACTAGGGTGCTCTCTGGCAGAGACAGGCAGTGGGAGATGCAAAGAGCCATTTAAAGGGCCAACACAAAATTTGGAGTAGCAGTCAGCTACCCTGGGCTCTGGCAGAGGCGCATAGGAAGAGACTGGAGAGGGAGACTTTGGGGAAGGAACTGGGAAGGTGGACAGAGGAGTCCTGGTGCTGACACATCCACCATTCTGCATCTGCCATCTTGCTCAAGGAGACCACTCCTATGAGCAGCAGCAGCATGAAAAAACACAATAGCAACACTCCCAATAGGCTCTATCTAGGCCCAGTAGTGATAAAACCTGATGGCTAAGTAGAGATTGGGAGCCACAGGCAGTAGATCCCTGGCTAAAGAGGGTGCAGAGTTGTCTAGAGACGCTTGAGGAAAGTCTAGAGATGGAGGCATTGGGGAGAGATCTGAGGTAGTAACCATGGGGTATCCCAGTGCTGACTCCTCCCCCATAAGAAGTAGCCATCTTGCTCAGGCAGAACACTCCCCTGAGCAGCAACAGCTTGAAAGGACACACTAGTCCCACTACAAAACGCCTCAGTGCTGGCCCGGTGTTGTGAAGGCCTGAGTGCTGTGTACAGAGCGGTAGTCATAGATAGTAGATCCTGGCTAAAGGAGATGCAGAGTGGTCTAGAGATTGAGAATATGGTGATGGAGGCATTGGGGAGAGAACTGAGGCAATAGCTGGGGGGATCCAAATGATTACTCCTCCCCAAAACAGCAGCAGCCAACTTGCTCAGACAGACTACTCCCCTGAGTGGCAGCAGCATGAAAAAACACTATACGCCAGCCAACAGTAGGGACTCTGCTCCACCCTGACTGCTGAGGGCAAAGTGACGGGATTAACAGTTGGAGGAGAGAGACACAGAGCGTAGATTCCTGGAAGTGTCTTAAAGACTTCTTATGATCAGAAGGGGTAAACAGTTGACAATATCAGAGGCACATACAGAAAAAAAAGAAAAAGAAGGCCTCCTACAATAGAAGTATACACCACAAAGTCAGGAAGTCAAGACAGATCAATTTAAGAAGCAGAAGCAAAAAAGAAGAGTCTCACAAATATTGGGAAGAAAAAGAAACACAACCCCCATTGGAAGAGAAAGGAAGAATCTTCAAAAAGAGAACTAAATGAAATAGAGACAAATAGATTATAAAATACGGAGTTCAAAACAATGGTTCTAGGGGATCTCAGTGAGATCAGTAAGCTGAAAAAGGAATTACCAAAAACTTCAGGGAAACTAAGAAGAATTTATTGCAAAAATATCAGCATGAAAAAAAATACCTGGAAACTAACAATAAGAGGCAAGAGAAAATGAAGAATACAATTTCTGAATTGAAGAACACAGGAGAAGGAATCAAAAGCAGACTCAATGAAGCAGAGTCAAATTAGTGAGCTGGAGGATAAGGTAGAGAAAAGCCACAGAAAAAGCAAGAATATGAAAAAAGACCAAAAAAGAATGAAGAAGTGTTGAGGGAAATGCAGGGCAACCTGAAATGTAATAATATCTGTATGATAAGGATAGCAAAATGAGAAGAGGAACAAGAGATAGAGAACCTGTTTGAAAAAGTAATGATGGATAACTTCCCTAATTGGAAGAGAGAAAAAGTCTCACAAGTTCAGGAAGCACAGAGTGTCCTATTCAAGAGGAACCCAGTGAGACCATTCGAGGACACATCATCATTAAAATGGCAAATATCAAAGACAAACAGAGAATCTTAAAGGCAACAAGGGATGAAGACATATATTAATATATAAGGGAGGTCCGGCATGGCCAGCAGTTGATTTCTCAACAGAAACACTACAAGCCAGAAGGGAATGGCATGAAATATTCTAAGTAATGAAAAATAAGGGTCTGTAGCCAAAACTACTCTAACCAGTAAGGCTCCCAATAAAAATGGAAGGCAAAAGAATGAGTTTCCTAGACAAAATAAAGCTAAAAGAATATACCTCCTATAAACCAGCACTAGAAGATGTGCTAAAGGGACTGGTTTAAGAAGATTAAGAAAAAGAGTGAAAAAGAGAGAATCACAGGTACAAAGTGAAAAAATGAATAAGTGCCTATCAATAATAACCTTAAATGTAAGTGGATTAAATGCCCCAATCAAAAGACATAGGATAGCTGAATGGATAAGAAACACAACTCCATCCTCACCACCCACATCATCCTGGAGCACTCTGATTGTGCCTTCATGGTTGAAAACGAGGCCATCTACGACATCTGTTGTAGAAACCTCAATATTGAGCACCCAACCTACACTAACCTTAACTGCCTTATCAGCCAGATTGTGTCCTCCATCACTGCTTCCCTCAGGTTTGATGGAGCCCTTAATGTCGATCTGACTGAATTCCAGATGAACCTGGTGCCCTATCCCCACATCCACTTCCCTCTGGCCACATATGCCCCTGTCATCTCTGCTGAGAAAGCCTACCATGAACAGATTTCTGTAGCAGAGATCACCAACACGTGCTTTGAGTCAGCAAACCAGATGGTGAAATGTGACCCCCGCCACGATAAATACATGGCTTGCTGCCTGTTGTACCATGGTGACATGGTTCCCAAAGATGTCAATGCTGCCATTGCCACCATCAAGACCAAGCGCAGCATCCAGTTTGTGGACTGGTGTCCCACTGGCTTCAAAGCTGGCATTAATTACCAGCCTCCCACTGTGGTGCCTGGCGGAGACCTGGCCAAAGTACAGCGAGCTGTGTGCATGCTGAGCAACACCACAGCTATTGCTGAGGCCTGGGCTTGCCTGGACCACAAGTTTGACCTGATGTATGCCAAGCGTGCCTTTGTCCACTGGTACGTGGGTGAGGGCATGGAGGAGGGGGAGTTTTCTGAGGCCCGTTAGGACATGGCTGCCCTAGAGAAGGATTATGAGGAGGTCGGTGTGGATTCTGTTGAAGGAGAGGGCGAGGAAGAAGGAGAGGAGTACTAATTACCATTCTTTTCAGCCCTGCAATATGTCATACTCAGAATTTCATGTTCAGAACTTGCTTTCTGATTAGATTTTCTTTGCTTTTACCTGTGATCATGTCTGTCTTTTTCATATATACCTGTAAGATTGTCTGCTCATTTCAAAGTAAAGGCATAGAGAAAGGAAAAAAAAAGAAGAAGAAAACATGACCCACACAAATGTTGTCTACAAGAGACCTACCTCATAACAAAGGACATACAAAAAGTAAAGGGATGGAAGAGATATTCCAAGCAAATAGATAGGGAAAAAAAGCAGGGATAGCGTTACTCTTATCAGACAGAATATATTTCAAAACAAAGGCCATAAAAAGAGACCCAGAGGGACACTTTATAATACTCAAAGGAAGAATCCCTCAAAAAGCTGAAAATGGAACTGCCTTTTGATCCAGTGATTCCCCTGCTGGGACTATACACTAAGAATCCCAAAACACCAATTCAAGGGAACCTATGCACCTCAATGTTCATAGCAGCACAGTTTACAATAGCCAAGTGTTGGATGCAACCTAAATGTCAATCAGTAGATGATTTGATCAAAAAATTATGGTACATTTACACAATGAAATACTATGCAGCAGAAAGAAAAAAAAGAACTACTACACTTCGCGACAGCATGGAAGGAACTAGAGAGCATTCTGCTAAATGAAATAAGCCAGAGGGCAAAAGGCAAATCCCATATGATCTCACCTATAAGCAGAACTTAACCAACAATACAAAGATGCAAGGAAAATAAGACCAGCAACACTGAAAGGAAAAGAAACAAGCAGAGACAAGAAGGAAGGAGGGAGGGGTGGGTGGGGGAATTTAAAGGGAAGGGGCAACTCAAGGAACATATAGCAAAGACTCATGGACAAAACCAAAGTGGGGAAGGATTAAGGGGAGGAGGGGGCAGTGGAAAGTGGTACGGGGAAGGCGGAGACAAATGTATTTAAAAAAAATAAAATAAAAGAGAGCTGGAGAAGTGAAAAAATAAATAAATAAATAAAATAAACATTAAAAATGAAAATTAGAAATAGAAAATAAAAATTATCTAAGTTAAAATTAAAAAAAATAAACATTGTAAATCTATATGCAGCCAACATAGGAGCACCAAAATATATAAGGGAAATCTTGGAGGACTTCAAAAAAGATATAAACAGCAACACACTGATAGTAGGAGATTTTAACACCCTAAAGTCAAAAAGGGATAGATCTTCAAAACAAAACATCAATAAGGATATTGTCGAACTGAACTACACATTAGTAGGAATGGACTTCATTGAAATATACAGAACCATTCATCCCAAGAAGCAAAATGCACATTCTTCTCAAATGCACATGAAACATTTTCAAAGAAAGACCACATGATAGGAAACAAAGCAAGCCTCAATAAATCAAGATAAATAGAAATAATAACAAGAATTTTCTCAGACCACAGAGCTTGAAACTGGAAACCAACCACAAGGGAAAATCTCAAAATTTATAAAAACTCATGAAGACAGAATAGCTCATTATTAAATAATGAATGGGTCAAAAAGGAGATATGAGAAGAAATCAAAAAGTTTCTGGAAACTAATGAAAATGAACATTCAACAGTCCAAAACCTATGGGACATGGCAAAAGCAATCCTGAGAGGGAAGTTCATAGCAAAACAGGCCTACCTGAAGAAGACTGAAACATTTCAAATAAAGGACCTACCCTACAACTTCAAGTGGAGAAACAAAAACAAATAAATCTCAGAGCAAGTAGAAGGAAGGAAATAATCAAGATTAGAACAGAATTGAATGACATTGAGACAATAAGAACAATTCAAAGGATCAACCAATCCAGGAGCTGATTCTTTGAAAAGATAAACAAAATTGACAAGCCTTGAAACAGACTCATTTAAAAAAAAAAAAAAGGAGAGAACCCAATGAATAATATCAGAAATGTAAAAGTAGGAATAAGAACTGATATCACAGAAATACAAAGGATTTTTAAGAACTTATTATGAGCAATAATATGCCAAAACATTTGCATACCTCAATGAAATGGGCACATTTCTAGAAAAGGATAACTTTCCAACACTGAATGAAGAAGTAGAAGCCTGAACGGACAGATAACAGCTGGTGAAATTGAAGCAGGAATAAAAAAACTCCTGGCACAAAAAGCCCTGGATGGGACAGTTTCACAGGAGAATTTTACAAAATATTAAAGGAAGAGCTACCTCTTCTCCTTCTCAGACTATTCCAAAAAACCCAAGAAGGAAGACTCCCATACTCATTTCATGAATCCAGCATCAACTTAATCCCAAAACCAGATAAAGACACAACAAAGAAAACTATAGGCCAATATCGCTGACGAACATAGATGCTAAAAACCTCAACAAAATATTGGCAAAATGCATCCTGCAATGAATTAAAAAAGATCATCCTCCATCATCAAGTGGGATTCATCCCAGGGATGCAAGAATGTTTCAATATTCACAAATCAATAAATGTAATACATTGCATAAATTGAAGGACAGACAAAGGTCAAATGATTATCTCAATAGATGCAGAGAAGGCATTTAGTAAGGTACAGCACCAATTTATGATCAAAACACTCAGCAAAATGGGAATAAAGGGGACATTCCTCAACATAATAAAGGCCATATATGAAAAACCTACAGGCAACATCATACTCAATGGGCAAAAACTAAAACTTTCCCACTAAGATCAGGAACATGACAAGGATGTCCACTTTCACCACTTCTATTCAACATAGTATTGGAAGTCCTAGCCACAGCAGTCAGACAAGAAAAATAAATAAAAGACATCCAAATTGGAAAGGAGGAAGTAAAACTATCATTGTTTGCAGATGACATGATAGTGTCCATAGAAAATCCTATAGACTCCACCAAAAAAACTACTCAACTTAATAAATGAATTTGGCAAAACAAGAGGATACAAAGTCAATATTCAGAGATCAAGTGCATTTTTGTACACCAACAATGAAATATCAGAAGTAGAAATCAGGGGGGAAAATTCCATTTTCTACAGCAACAAGAAAACTAAAGTACGTATGAATAAGTTTAACCAAGGAGGTAAAAGACTTGTATGCAGAAAACTATACAACACTGAAGAAAGAAATTAAAGAATACAGAAATAAATGAAAGCATATACCATGTTCATGGATCGGAAGGATTAACCTCAATAAAATGTCCATACTACACAAAACAATTAATATATTCAACGCAATCCCTATTAAAATACCAATGATGTATTTCATATATTAGAGACACATCAAAAATGTATATGGAATCATCAATGACCCCAATAGCCATAGAAGTTTTAAGAAAGAAAACCAAAGTAGAGGGAATCACGATACCAGATATAAACTTTATTTTGAGGCCACTGTAATCAAAACTATCTGATACTGGCAAAAGAACAGATACATAGATCAGTGAAACAGAATAGAGAGCCCAGAAATAAATTCATGTTTTTATGGTCAATTAATATTTGACAAAGAATGCAGAAGCATAAAATGGAGTAAAAATATCCTCTTCAAAAAATGGTGTTTGGAGAGCTGACAGCTACATGCAAAAAATTGAAATTCGAGAGATCGGAGAGAAGATGGCGGAAGAGTGAATGGGAGTCACACTGACCTCCTCCCAAAACCAAACTGGAATTGCAACTAAATAATGGAATAATCACCAGGATAGCAGTGGAGCAATAGTGGGAGAGGAGCCTTGGTGCTGCAGACAGTGGATTCGACTCTCACACATCCCAATGGGTAAGAAGTGTGGTGGAGGATCGAGAGGGTGGGCTGGGTGCCCACGGGCACTGGCACCAGAGGGACATTGAAATGGCCAGTTAGCTTCCCCCAAGAAGAACGGGGTCTGAATCATAAACAGGAACCTCTAAACTACAGCAGCTAAAGTCAAGAAAACACAGACAAAACACAACCCCAAAAAGCTTAGGGGCGCTCTCTGCCAGAGACAGGTGGCTGGGGATGCAAAGAGACATTTAAAGGGCAAACACAAAAGTTGCAGTGGCAGCCACACTCCTTGATCTCTGGGTAGAGGTGGCAGCAGGGTAGGCTGGTGCCAGGGAAAAGACTGGTGAGGAAAACTTTGTGAAGAGAACTGACAGGGTGGCCGGTGGAGCCTTGGTGATGGCATGCCTCCCACTCTGCAGCTACCATCTCGCTCAGGCATAAGGGAATCAATTAACCTGCCTTTTGTGCACTCCGCACACAGCTCGTACCCGTGTTAGCTGCAGGGCTGAGTGCAGACTGGCTGGGAGAGCCTTGAGGAGAGACTGGAGATGGAGGCATTGGGGAAAGAACGGGAGGAGGAACCAAGGAGACCCGACGCCCTTCCCTTTCCGTAGTCTACATTGTGGGCTGGAAAGGTGCACCCCCAAAGAGGCAGAAGAGGGGCGCGCAGGAACCAGACTGCCTGTGATTGAAACACAGTCCGCACAGGTGGTGGATCCTTGGCTGAAGGGGTCACAGAACTGCCCAGAGACCCCTGAGGAGAGACTAGAAATGGAGACATTGGGGAAAGAATGGGAGGAGGAACCAGGGAGTCCCGACTCCTTCTCCTTGCCTTGGTCTCCATTGCGCGGGAAGAGGCCACACCTCCAAAGAGCCAAAAGTCGAAAAGCACACATAGACACCCCAAAACGACCCAGTGTAGGCGCGCACGCTTGCACCCTGTGATCGGCGAGGGTTGGTGAGCATGTATGTGAACCGCGCGGGCTGGCAAACACTTGCATGGGCGGGCAAGGCCTCCCACAGACTGGCACCGACACAGCCTTTGAGGGAGTGCGCAGAGAGGCAAGGGCAGGCGTAAATTGACCCGCCCGCCCACCCGCGATGGCGGAGGAGCTCACAAAATTAGTAGAGGTGCCCAGAGTCCCTGGAGGAGATACCAGAGACAGGATTAACCAGAGAGTCCTGGAGCTGACTTCCTCCCACTTCTGTAGTCCCCATTTGGCGAGGGCAAGCTATGCAACCAAAGAGTCAAAAGCGGGGAAAATACACAATAGAAGACCCTAAACTGACCAGTGCCAGGGAGCTCGCTGGCTAGGGTGGCCAGAAGAGTACACGAGGTCGCGAATAAGTCCCCTGGTGTGGGGC